ATTTTCTCTATTTTTTATTTATAAGTAATTGATTATACATGTCAGCAGAATGCTCTTCAATTCTTTTATTTATGGCTTTCCAAAATAGGAAGTGCACATGCTAAATAAGCCTAGAGAAGCTAAATGGAGCACTAATTTTGACTTCTCTGGTTGTACTAAGTAGGGTTATACCATTCGTACAATCATACATGTACCTAGGGTAATAATGTCTGTCTCATCCCACCATCTTTTTTACCCCCATGTCTCCCTCTGCTTTGCCTTATCCAAAGGTCCTCCACTTGTCCCATGCCCCGCCACCATTCCATAATCCACTTATCAGAGAAAACATTCAGCCTTTGGTTTGTTGGGATTGGCTTCCTTTGTTTAGCATGATATTCTCTAACTCCATCTATTTACCTGCAAATGCCATAATTTTATTCTCTTTTAGCACTGAGTAATATTCCATTGTGTATATATACCACAGTTTCTTTATACATTTGTCTATTGAAGGGCATCTAGTTTGATTCTACAGCTTGGCTGTTGTGAATTATGGTGCTATGAACATTGATGTGGCTGTGTCACTGTAGGATGCTATTTGTAAGTCCTTTGGGTATAGACCAAGGAGTGGGATAGTTGAGTGAAAGGCTGGTTCCATTCCAAGCTTTCTAAGGAATCTCCATTTTGCTTTCCAAATTGGTTGCACCAATTTGCAGTCCCAACTGCAACATATGAGTGTGCCTTTTCTCCCATATCCTCGTCAACCTTTATTATTTTCTATATGTTTGATAACTGATTGGCATGAGATGAAATCTTAAGAGTATTTTGATTTGCATTTCTCTAATTACTAGAGATGTTGAACATTTTTTCATATATTTGTTGATCGAATGTATATCTTCTTCTGAGAAGTGTCTGTTCCGCTCCTTAGCCCATTTGTTGATTGGGTTGTTTGTTTTTTTGGTGTTAAGTTTTTTGAGTTCTTTATATATCCTGGAGATTAGTGCTCTATCTGATGTGTGTATGGCAAAAATTTGCTCCCAAAATGTAGAGTCTCTGTTCACCTCACTGATTATTTCTTTTGCTGAGAAGAAGCTTTTTAGTTTGAGTCCATTCCATTTATTAATTCTTGATTTGATTTCTTGCACTTTAGGAGTCTTATTAAGGAAGTTGGGGCCTAATCAAATGATGAAGATTTGGACCAACTTTTTCCTCTATTAGGTGCATGGTCTCTGAACTAATTCCTAGGTCCTTGATCCACTTTGAGTTTTGTGCATGGTGAGAGATAGGGTTTAGTTTCATTTGGCTGCATATGGATTTCCAGTTTTCTCAGCACCATTTGTTGAAGAGGCTATCTTTTGTCCACTATTTGTTTTTGGAACCTTTGTCTAGTATGAGATAACTGAATTTATGTGGGTTTGTCTCTGTGTCATCTATTCTGTACCATTGGTCTACATGTCTAGTTTGGTTCCAATACCATACTGTTTTTATTAGTATAGCTTTGTAGTATAGTTTAAGATCCAATATTGGGATGCCTCCTGCTTCATTTCATTCTTCCTGCTAAGGATTGCTTTAGCTATTCTGGGTCTCTTATTTTTCCAAATGAATTTCCTGATTACCTTTTCTTTTTTATAAGGAATGAAATTGGTATTTTAATTGGAATTGCATTGAATCTGTATAACACTATTGGTAGTATGGCCATGTTGACAATATTAATTCTGCCTATCCAGGAGCATGAGAGTTTTTTCCATCTTCTAAGGTCTTCTTCAGTTTCTTTTTTAGTGTTCTGTTGTTTTCATTGTAGAGGTCTCTCCTCTGTTGCTAAGTTGATTCCCAAGTATTTTACTTTATTTGTTTTGAGGCTATTGTGAATGGGGTAGTTTTTCTAATTTCTCTTTCAGAGATTCATCACTGATGTACAAAAATGTATTTGATTTATGGGTATTGATTTTGTATCCTGCTACTTTGCTGAATTCATTCATTAATTCTAGAAGTTTTTTGGTAGAGTTTTTTGGATCCTCTATGTATAGAGTCATGTCAGCAAATAATGATAGTTAGAGTTCTTCTTTTCCTATCCATCTCCCTTTAATTTCCTTCATCTCTCTGATTGTTTTGGCTAGGAATGTTCTATATATGTCTGAAGTCCAAATTATTTATTGTATTATTGAGTTCCATAGTTTATTTGTTTAGTTTTTGTTTGGAATATCTAACCAGTGGTGAAAAATGTATGTTAAAATCACCCAGTATTATTGTGTTGTGTTCTATTTGGTTCTTGTATTTGAGAAGGGTTTGTTGGATATGTACAGATGCCCCATTTTGGGGTGTAGATATTTATATGATTGTTATGTTTTGTTGATGTATGAATCTCTTCAGCAGTATGAAATGTCTTTCTTTATTCCCTTTCACTAGCTTTGGTTTGAAGTCCACTTTTTCTGATATGTGGATGGAAACGCATGCTTATTTACATGTTCCATGTGAGTGGTATGTTTTTGCCCACCCTTTCACCTTCTGCCTATGGATGTCTTTTCTTGTGAGATGAGTCTCTTGAAGGCAACATATAGTTGGGTCTTTTTTTAATCCAATCTGTCAATCTTTTTCTTTTAATTGATGAGTTTAGGCTATTCACCTTTAGGGTTATTATTGAAATGTGATTTGTATTCCTGGACATTTTGGTTTATTTTTGGTTTTTAACTTGACTTGGTTCTCCTTTGTTTGGCCTTTCCTTTAGTAAAGTTCTTCCCTTTATTGATTTTCATTTCCTCCTCCTGAAATATTTTGCTGAGGATGCTCTGTAGATTGTAGTGGGCTTTCTCACTGTAAATTCTTTAACTTTTGTTTATTATGAAAGGCTTTCATCCTCAAATCTGAAGCTTAATTTTGCTGGATGTAAGATTCTTGGTTTGGCATTGTTGCCTGTATTTGGTTTCTCATCTCTTTGTTAGAGTGATCAGTTTTTGCCTATATTTGCTCATTTAGGTCATTCTTTAATTCACAGATCATTTTAATCATATATGTTCTGAACTCCTTCTCTGACATTTCATTAATGGCACTGTCCATGGATTCTGTTGATTTTTCATGTTGTCTGTGTGTCTTCCTTTCTTGCAGTGCATATCTGAGGTATTACAGTTCTTACCCTATAATATTATAGTATCTGTGCGGATTATCTGCACCTCATTTTGGTGTTGGGCTTCCAGACCCTGCCAGTGACTCATGATGGATGCTACTGGAATTATAGGTGGTAGCAGCAATTGCGGAGGTAAATCAGGATAGCAGTGGGGGTATCCCAAGATGGATGCAACCTCTTTCAGAAGTGAGGCTGAAAGGGTGGGCCTTACAGTAGCTTTGGGCTGCCTGTTCTGAGATGCTGCTGCTTTTAGACCTATCTGTCGTCACAAGGTGGAGGCTACTGCGTGGGGAGGGCTATGGAGGTGGCTGCAGTGTCCCTAGGTGGAGGCAGGTTAGGCCTGGGCTCCCATGGGCTCCTGTGTAGGTATGAGGGGCAGTCTTGGGCCAGGAACTGAGCTCTGGCATGGGTCTGCTGGTTGGCAGGGGTGTACTGGGCCTAGCCTGGGCCTGGGTTCCCGTGCAGGTTGGTGGAGGCAGTCCTCAATATCTTTAAATTTAGAATGGCAATTTAATATTTTCCTCAAAAAGTTTATAGGCATTACTCCATAATTTAACAGTACTTTCCCTATTTAAGTATTGTGTGTCTAATGTTGCTTTTTCTCACTTTTATTCAATTTTCATCTTTGTTTTTATCAGTACTGTTCTAGATTTAGCAGTATTAGCAACTACTGATGTGAGATTTCTCAAGAACTTAGGAAGCCACTGTTCTCCTAGTTCTTAATGGTGTACATAATTGTAGAACTCAAGCTACATCGAGTGTTTGAATCTGTTAGTGTTTCCCATCAATTTTCAGGGCAGAAGAGTGGTTTTGTGAACCTCAGAATCCACTTAATAATGTAAAGAAGGATGTTATTCTAAGACAGTGTGACTTAGTGGATATTATTCCTAAACCCTTATATGGCTGAAAATATTTTTCTTCAAACATGGATATTAATTTGCTTTAGTTTATTTTCTGGAGGGCCTCATATTTTTTTAGTAGATCTATGTATTTTATTATTTAGCTTAGTGAATCTCAAACTTTAGCATAAAAAAAATCACCTAAAGGAATAGATGATTGCTGGTGCTACTTTCAGAGTTTCTGATTCAGTATTTTGGGGTGGGGCCTGAGGTTTTGCTTTAATAAGTAGCATGTTTGTGTGGTGCTGCTACTATTGGTTGTGGAGCCACTATTTTTGAACCCTGATGTAGAGTCAATATTGCAGCAGAGACAGTGTAGACTAGTCTACATTGGTTCATTGTAAATAACATTTTTCCTCTACCCGAATGCTTGTAGAAATATTTTTCTTTAATAGTGCAATTCAAAACTTTTACCCAGACGTGAAAGTGTGGGGATCGAGGGTAAAAGATCTAATCATTTCACATTAAATTTTTAAGGGATAAGTATATATTAATCTGTGTATTTTTTTTCATAGATTTTTAAAGCTCCCAAACCAGTTCTTTGTATTTTGCATAAAAAACAAAAGTGGCAGTAAGATATTTTCTATCTTGATATTTTAGTTTCCTTAGCAAGAAAAAATTGTATTAATAGTATTTAAAGGTAATGCTTTTAATTATTTAACTTGCTGTTCTATGAAGAGAAATATATGCCCTTTGGCATATATTTTTATTCCTTACCTATATTAAGAAAATATATGAAATGACTCATATGGATTATTTTGGGGCCTCTTAATATAGTTCTGTAAGGGTGTAGAATTACTTTTTATTCTTGAAGTAAGTTGTCTATACAAAATTGACTGAAACACTGCCTTTGAATTTAAAATTATGATTTTGAACTATAGATTTATGTCCTATTTTAGCAATTATTATACTTTTGTGATTGAAAATAATAAGATATGAATTAAATATTATACATTGTGAAGGATTTTATTTTAAAATATATTCTTTAAATTTTTATTTTCCAGATTTTGGAATCTCTTTTTAAGGTATGATCAATGTATTGAAGCTAACATACTAAAACTTAATAGAGAAATACATTTAAATGAAACAGTTTTCTAAGTCTTGTGGAAGTTAAAGGACTTTCAAACTTGCTGCTATATTTAAAACTTTATTTTCAGTTGTATGCTGCATTGGGCCCTTTTATGAACCCTAAGAACTGATGCTTGCCAGATGAAAGTTCAGAGGCATACATGTATATGTACATTAATTTTACTGAGGAAATTCAACTTGTCATTAATTCTTTCTTCTTTGCTCCTTTATGTTTTGTTTGTTGTATAGTGGTTTCAGCTACAGGTCAATCAAATGGAGGAGGCAAGTATGACATTTCTTTTTTTCCTTTTTAGTTGTAGATGGACACAGTGCCTTTATTTGTTTACTTATTTTTTATGTGGTGTTGAGGACTAAAAACAGTGCCTCACACGTGCTAGGCAAGCACTGTACTACCAAGCCACAACCCCAGCTCCATAACATTTCTTCATTGTTAATTAAATCAATATTTTGACTCATTTGAAAAATCAATTAGAGGTATGTTTAAAGTTTGGGTCATAAAGTTATCATTTGATTTTGATAGAAGAGGAATTAGTGGGTAAAAAAATATTTTTTAGTGATTTATACCCTATATTCCTGCATTTATCTACTATATTCAAAATTTGATACATTTTGTTTCCCAAAATTGAATAAGGGAAATTGAACTATCTTTCTTTTCCTAATTTACAGAAAGTAGTAAATGATAAGGTAGAATAGATCAATTTAAAAAAATCCTATATTTAAAAAATCATGCATAATATATTCACAGACATACAATTATCTATTAATTTTTTCTTAAGTTTAATATGTTCTTTTAATGGTATTAAATAATTTAAATAATGCTAGAGTAATTTGTACTTCTGATTTTCAAGTACTTTATCAGTTTGAGAACTTTAAGCCTCTGACTTAAGGGCTTTTAATCTATTTTGGAAAAAACTTCATATATACCATTAATAACAATGATTTCCAAAGTAGCTTTTAGTGGTATATAGAATTATTTTAGTTTTACATTTGTCATGCTTATGGTCCACTCAAATTGCTTTTGAAGCCCAAGCTCTTTAAAGAGGCTGACTTATTTGGAATACAAAATTAAAGGGAAAATAAACTATTTTTTTAGCAGAGTAGAAGACTTTCATTGTCTATACATGCTTTCTTTAAGATAGATATGGCTGACATTGGAGAAATGTTAGAAGTTCTTTGACTATAGCATAATGATCATTATCTTTCTAGAGAAGTAAGGTTGGGTGAAGTCAACTATTCCTTTACTCGCTTGTAAAATTTCTTCTTCATAATTTAGGAACTTCAATCTGTCTTCTGCCTTCTTATTTTTGAAACTAGAAATATTTTTCTGCTTTATTTGTAGATTTGTATTTTTTTTGCATTAATTCCTGTCAACGTACATGATCTATCTAAAATCTAAAATCCAGTTTCTCAGTTCCTTGACTTCTGCATTTATAAAGATCAGTGTTCTTTTTTACCCTTGGACTGTATGTCAAGTCACACTCTGAACTTTATCATTAATCAAATTTCTAATGCAGGTAACTTATTATTGAACTATAGATTTCTATCTTTCTATTTACAGTTAGGCATTGCTTAATGACAAGGATATATTCTGAACAATGTGTTATCAGGAAATTGTGTCATCACAGGGTACACTTACAGAAACTAAAATAGCTATAATATCAATTCCTGTTTGCCAAACAAAATATTTACATGCATACACATTTTATCTTTCTGCCCTCCTCTTAAAAGACAGATATTGTTTTTTGCCTATACATAGGAATAATTCTTTCACTTTTGTTTTGAATTCCATCTCCTCTTGGCTTCTTAAGGACTTTGTCTCTCATATATTCAACGTTTCTCATTTATTTTTTGGTATTTTAAAGTGTTTATCTTTCTTATTTAATGCCACTTTCCCCTTGTAACTGGGATTATATGTCTGTCTTTACAACCTTATCTGTGGAACATAAGTTACCTGTTCAGAGCCAGATTGTATATTTACTATAACTATGTTCTTAATTCCCATATATTTTTCAAATTATTCAGACTGTCGTATATGGTTCCCAGTAATTTGTATATTATTAAACTTAATAGACATGTTTCTTTATCTCAACCATAATTAGTATTATTGATCACTTTCTCATTTTTTTTTGAAACAATATTCTTTTGGTTTCTGTGAATTATACTGTACTGGCTATTGTTTTTACCTCTTTGACTATTTCCTTTTCAGTCAACTACTTAAGCAGTAAATTTTGGCATGCCTTTTTTTTTCTCTAAACTTTCCTTAGGTAATCTCATTCAGTTTTACTTTGATGTTGGTAATTTAGAAACAACTCCAGACTTGTTTCACTTCAAATTCAGTGGATCAAAAACAAGAATTTTGTACTCATTTTCTAGTGTTTCTATCTTAGTTAATGGTAATTCATCCAGTTGAGTAAATCAGAAATGGGGTAACCATCCTTGAAACTCACTTCCATCTATCCTAAATATTCATTTCATTCATAAGTCCTTTTGATTTTCCTTCCTAAATGTGTCTGCTTGTATTTTTATATGTTGTTTGTGCCTTAGTGCCAGTTAGCAACTGTTCAGTATTCTTGAAATTCAGCGTAAACATTCATAATCTCTAGTAGGAATCCTCACTATACAAGTATATTTCTGAACTGGAATTCCAAGTTTTTCAATGTTTAAATCTGTAGTTACTTCTCTTGAGTATTTTCTTAATTGGGTGTATCAGTTAATTGTCTAAGTTACTCTCTTCTGCCTTTTAAGGCGTGTTTCATAGTTGATGTATCATGTTTAGCACAAGATACTTGTCATAAGTGTATAATACTGGATTAGAATTTGTATGTGAGGAAGCTAGGCTCTCTTAAGAGATTCTCATGCATACTAACATTTGAAAATATTTGAATAATATTTTTACTAATATATTTTATTGTCTGTTCATGATGATAAGGTTAATGCCTATGACTATGATGCATTAACAGAGATGTTGAAGCCTTCAGAGTGTATGGTGAACTGCACCATTGAAATATTGGATGAGCCCTTTCAAAGTTGTCTTGCTGGAACCTGTACCCATAGTTATTTTTGGTAAAGTCTTATAGTTGATAATCTCATTGTTTCTTACTTCTTTAGTTCTGGGCCATCATTCCTTCTCCTAGAAATGACTTCTGTTCACATTAAGTTCATACTAGGAAATGCAATGTACCAGTTATGGTTTAATCAAGAGACAAAAACCACATACTAATTTGATTAGGCAATGCTTAATATAGAGAATTGTTATAATAGAGAAAATACTATTAAAGAGGTAAAGACAATCTAAAAGAATATAGCAATAGATATAGAGAATATCCTCAACCCTCAGGATGGAAAAAAGAGCACTCAAGGAAGGAACACATCTAAATACCCCAGATCCTCTTCTCCCAACTTAGGGCTAAGATTCAGACCTTTTGAAGAGGGAGTAGTTGTCATCATTGGGTGGCAGAAACTTTCTTGGGTGCCATGCTGGTAGAACTTAAACTCACTTGGAATGTGCTCATGAGGGTGGTACCCTGAAAGTTACTCTGTGGTCCTAGGAAAAGACATCTTCCAGGGAGATGCTGTACCTCTTGCTGGGACATTGTGCATAAGGGTTCTGCTTTGGGGAATTTTGCTAAGGAGCTCTGGGAGAAGCTGCCCACAAGAATGTGCCATGTCATGGCTCTTCTCTGGGATCTTGCCTTTACCAGTAAGGTTTTGTAAGTCTCTGACTTCTCTTCCCCAGTTCCATAGCCTTATCAATATCTCAGACTTGCATTATACTGGTCAACATTTCCTGTTGCTATATTCTAATCCCATTCTAGGTAGTCATTACTATAATGAAAAACTTGTTCTAAATATTTAATGCTAGAATTTCTCTTTGCTAGTCCTTGACTTCTCCCCTGACCACTCTCCCTCCCATCATTAGAGATATATATATGGATGGATCTCTGGTATTATCTTGTCAAAACTTCTTACTCTTCCCCACCCAGACCAATTGCTGTTATGCTTGTTTAACTCTATGTATTGCTGTTTCTTTCACTGTTATGGTTTCAATATGAGATGTGCTCCCAAAGCTCAAATGTGAGACAATGTAAGATGTTTAAGAGGTAAAATGATTGGGTTATGAGATCCTTAACCTAATTAATGTGTTAATCCCCTGGTAGAGATTAACTGAGTGGTAACTGAAAGCAGGTAGGGTAAGGTATTGAGGGTGTGCCTTAAGGGTATGTATCTTGTCCCTGGAGAGTAGAGTCTGTCTCCCTTTTCTTCTCTCTCTCTTTTCTGGAACCATGTTCTGAGCTGCTTTCCTCTGCCATACTCTTCCACCATGTTCTGCCTCATGTTGGACCCCAAAGAATGGAGTTGGCTGTCTATGTACTAAGACCTCTGAAACCATGAACCCCAAAAGAAACTTTTCCTTCTCTAATTGTTCTTGTCAGGTCTTTTGGTCAAGCATCAAAAAAGCATATTAAAACAGTCACTGTGGCTTTTGTATGCTCCTTTTTTGCTGGACTTCCTTTGAGTAGGCCTATTGCTTAGAATATTAATAATGATGTGTCATCTTATTCTATAAATCTTATTGATTCTCTCTATTGCCTGTTGCTTTTTAGCTTGATCTATTCCAAAAAACTTGAGACTCCCAAAGTGATCTAAGATTTTATTCACACAGATTGATAAATGCAGTTCCATGGACACTTATATGTTAACTTCTGGGATTTGATATAAGGTATTAGTCTTTGAGAGCAAATTATTGTGTTTCTATAAGTTATAACAGTAGGGATACTTTTTGAAAGAATTTAGGTGAAGCAACTATTTTAGAATTACTCTCGTAAATATTTTAAGTTGTACTTACTATTATTGGGCTTGCTTCAAATTTCTGGATATAAAAAGTGTAAACAGAAGATTTGATGTCAGTTTTGACATGTAAACATCCTTATTGGGCTGTGATTCTATTGATAGATAATTGCTCATATTTTTGTTAACTATTTTATCATCATTTGACATAATAGTTGTAGATAAAATCAGATTTTATAAAGCAAACTGAAATTTCTTTGAGATGTGGAGGAAAATGGGTATTTCTTAAATAATTTGTTTATTTTATTATTTTAGCTAAGTAGAGGTTATAGTCTTTCAGAAGCAGATATTCTAGCACCTGAGAAAACAGTCTCTTTAAACATTTCAAAAGTAGTAACACAAATGCAAAAGCTTGAAGAACTGAAAAATCAGCTTACACAGATGCCTAAATACTCCTTGAAAGACATGCCATGTAAATCCACGTAAGTGAAATATAATAATTAATTGAATTAAAAGCTATAAGAGGGTGATATGATTAGCATTTGATATCAGTTTTGACATGTAAACATCCTTATTGAGATGTGGGAGGAAAATGGGTATAATCAGTTGCATAGTATCCCTATACACAGAACTTCTAAATCAAATCAGAAGGCCTACTTAGTTTTTTGTTTTTTTATTTTTTTTGTTTTTTAGTTGTTAATGGACCTTTATTTTATTTACTGTTATGTGGTGCTGAGGATTGAACCCAGTGCCTCATACATGCCAGGCAAGTGCTCTACCACTGTGATGCAACCCCAGCCCCCTACTTAGTTTTTCTATTTAAAATTTTTATTAGTCTAGTGGCAGTATATACTACAATAGTTACTAACCACCCATGGTTATTCAAATTCAAATTCAAATTTAATTTTTTTTGGTTACACTAGCCACATTTCATATGCTTATTAACCATATATGGCTATTAGAAAGTCTGTTGGGAAATGTTGGATCAGAGGAACCCACAATATTGTAGCAGCTCCAAGAGACTGAGTTAAAATAACTTTTTGCAGCAGCAGGATACGAGGTAGGAAGACTGGGAAAATTCTAATAGGCAACCCAGATATCTATCAACCAGGTAAAACCCAAAAATATCAAGTTTCTAAATTAGGAAGAGAATTAATAAAAGGAATGGACTGTGGCAGCACTGGGCACATGGTGTCTGAGTCAGGGAGGGAAGCTCCCCTCCAACAAGCCAAAGAAATTCTCCAGCCCAGTTTGATAAACAGGTGCTACTGTCCAACAAATTTGTAATCTTAGCAGAAAATAAGATCAGATAGCATGAGCCGAGCGTGTTCAGGAGAAAGTCCCAGCACTCTTTAGGGAGATAATGAAAGTGGGGAAGTAACAACTTAAAAAGATTCTTCATTTGGATTTACTGAGAAGAAACTAGAAATCCCTTCAGTACCTTTGCTTTTCCTATTTCTCTCTTTTTAAAATTCTTTATTGTCTTCTTATTGGTATACTTCCCTTTTTCTGTTTTTTCCCCCACATTTTTATTTGGTGCATTGTAGTTGTATGTAATGGTGGAATTTGTTGTTACATATTCATACATGCACACAATATAACAATATAATTTGGCCATATTATTCTCAAGCACTTCCTCCCCTGTCTCCCCACATCACATTTCTTGGTCAATTTCCTCTACTGCATAATTTTTCCCTTTCGTTTTCATTAGGTCCAACCCACCTTTCTTTTCCTTTTACCTCTCTAGCAACCACATATAAGAGAAAATATGCAACACTTGACCTTCTGAGTTGAACTTATTTTACTTAACATAATGTATATAGCTCCATCCATTTTTATGCAAATGACATAATTTTTCTATATGGCTGAATAAAACTCCATTATGTAGATACACACTACATTTTCTTTATCCATTCATCTGTTGATGGATACCTTGGATGGTTTAATAGTTTTGGCACAATTGTGAATTGTGCTGCTATAAACATGAATATGCATGTATCACTGTAGTATGATGACCTTAATTCTTTAAGATAAATAACAACGAGTGGGGCTGGGGTTGTGGCTCAGTGGTAGAATACTTGCCTAGAGTGTGTGAGACACTGGGTTCCATTCTAAGCACTGTATATAAATAAATAAATAAAAGTTTATTGACAAGTAAAAAAAATATTAAAAAAACACCATGGTGTAATACAGCTGGGTCATGTGATGATTCCATGCCTACTCTTTTTAGGAAACTCCATATTGATTTTTATAGTAGTTGTACTAATTCATAGTCCCACTAAGAGTGGGACTATGAATTAGTACAACTACAGGAGGTTCCTCTACATCCTTTCTAGCATTTATTATTATTTATATTATTTTTTCATACTTTTAATGGGTGCATTATAGTTCTACATATTGGTGGGACTTTTTTCTTTCATATTTATACATGCACACAAATATAATAATATAATTTGGCTACTATTACTCCCTGGCATTTTCCTACTTCCATCCTGACCTCTCATCCCTTGATCCTTTCCTCTACTGGTCTCTCTTTGATTTCTAGGAGATCAACTCCCACCTTTGTTTTTGTTTTTCCTCTCTAATTTCTGCTTATGAGAGAAAACATATGATCCTTAACCTTCTAAGTTTCACTTATTTTACTTAACATGATGGTCTCTAGTTATATACGTTTTCCTGCAAATGATATAATTTTAATTTTATTTGTGGCTGAATAAAACTCCGTTTTGAACATATACCACGTTTTCTATATCCATTTATCTGTTGATGGAACCCTGGACTGGTTCCATAGTTTGGCTATTGTGAATTGTGCTGCTGTAAACATGGGTGTATGCATGTATTACTGTAGTAAGATGACGTAATTCTTCAGGATAAATACTGAGTAGTGATGTAGCTAGGTAATATTGTGGTTTCATGCCTGCTATTTTGAGGAGCCTGTATACTGATTTTCATAGCAGTTGTATCAACTTACAGTCCTACCAACAGTGTAAAGGTGTTCCCTTTTCTTCATGTCCTCTCCAGTCTTTATTATTTGCATTCTTCATCTATTGAGATGATAAATGATTTTTATCCTTAACTCTATTTATGTGATGAATTACATTGATGTATATTAAACCATACTTGCATCTTTGGTATACATGCTTTTTGAATACCCAAGACAAAACAGCCACTTAGGCTTTACTTTTCTCTGGATCATTGGATGTTCAGGCCATGAGTCAGTCTGAGTACAGAAATGTGAGATTCTAACACAGAGTTGGGAGAAGGTCGGAGAGTGGGAGCCACAGTCTGTAGACCAGAGAAGAACAAAGGATGCTTTCATTTGAAATTAGCTGTCCAAACTCTGGGATCAGGAAAGTAGTTGAAAGAATGTAAAACTGGGTTGGATCAGGGCTGAGTGGGAGTCCTTGTCACACTTACATTCCCATCCTAGTCATAATAACAAAGTTATTTTGAGGCTGTAATCTCCTCTGAAACAGACAATGTTATTCTAATAGATGCTGCCAAGTAAGGAGGAGGTGTAGCTCAGCATACAGATCACCCTAATAAGATTGGACAGACAAACAAACAATGTGGTATTTGTGTCACACAAACTTCCTCATTGTTGGGAGATTCTAAAATTGAAATCTCAGAAGAAAATGTCTCTATTCTAAAAAACTCAGCAAGAAGAACACTGAATCTCTTTATTACTATTGTTGCATTAACTGCTCAATATAAACTGATTTCTAGTAACTTTCACACATTATTTTTCCCCCAGAGTGCTAAGTTTATATACTCTGTAAATTTGGTCCTCTTTTATACTTCTTTTCTTCTGTATCATCTCCATTCTCAATCCCTTTCTTTCCATTTTTTCCTCTCATTTTATTTTGTCTCCTTTCCTTTCCCTATCCCTTTTATTTCTTGTGTTTTTCTTTTTTCCCTATTTTCTTTTAAAAAATATTTCTTCTACTAGTTCAATTTACTGTACTATCATTAATGCTTAATCTTTATAGTCGATTCTACTTATTTTTCATCCACTTTTCTCTTTAATAGACTGCAGAGATCATTTAGTAATAACTTTTATAGCCTATGTTGATATGGTTTACTCTTAAATTACCTCTATTACTGAGGATTACTCTTCCTTTTAAAGTGGTACTAGAGATTGAATTTTAACACTTTTATTTTGCTGATCATATATGTTGAAGCTAAGATATACCCACAGCCCAGGGATTATTATAAATAGATAACTACCCACTAAGGGACCTCCCACATAAAAGAAAAAGAGGAATGTATATCAACAGATGTACAAATAAAGGAGGACCTTAGAACATATAAAGAAACAGTAAGTAGAATACCTCCAAAAGTCAATAAGCTCCTAGTAATTGAATCCACAGACACTGAAGTGGTAAAATTCCAAAGAATTTAAAAAAGTTGATTGTTAAAATGATTAATGAAATTAAAAGAAGATCTAAGGAATGAATTAAGGGAGAAAATACAGAATGTGAAAGCATTTCAGTAGAGAGACTCTGAAAATAGAGTAAAAATCTTGGAATTGAAAGACTCAGTAAAAAGTTTAGTGGAGAATCTCACAAATGTATCAGATCACGTAAAACACAGAACCTCAGAACTTTGACAAGGAAGCTCACCTAAAATATTTAGAAGGTATTAAAGAAAAAAACCTATGATCTGAATTTATAAGAACTATGGGATAATTAAGAAACTAAACTTAAAAATCACTAGCATTGTAGAAGAAATAGAAATACAGACTAATGGCATTGATAATGTTACAGTGAAATATTAGCAGAAAAGTTTCCAAACCTAGGGAATGAAAGGGACATTAAGATGAAGGATGCATTCAGAACATCAAAGATACAACATCAAAAAGAGCCTCTCTGCAACACATTATGATTAAAATGCCAAATATTATAGAATAAAGACAGAATTTGAAAATCCTCAAAAAATGTCAGGACATATTTAAAGGTGAACCAATCAAGCCAACCTATGATTTTTCAAAAGAAACCCTAAGATTCGGGAGGGCTTAGAACAATATATTTCAAAACTTGAAAGAACATAACTTCCAGCCTTGTTTGTTCTATCCAGCAAAGCTATCCTTAGAATCAAAGAATAAAAACCTTCCAAGAGGAATTCATGACTACCAAGCCATAATTGCAGAAGTTCCTAAAAGAAATCTTACAAACAGAAGGAGGAGGAAAAGATAAAAATGGCCAAGAGAACATAGGAAAGAAATTTTTTATTAAAAGAGTAGATAAGCAAATGAGAATTAGTATTGAAACAAACATGAGAAGTAAATCAAATTGAAATATAATAAATATATATAATAACATTGAATGTATATAGCCTGAACTTTCCAATTAAAAGATTAGCAAATTGGATTAAAAACCATGACCCAACCATTTGTAGTCTGAAGAGACACAACTCTTGGTCAAAGATATCAATGACTGAATGTGAAAGGATAGAAAATGATATTCTGTGTAGGTGGAGTCCC